ATATAATTTAAAAAAATGAATTGTTCTGAGGGGTCTACAAATGTGGCAAATGCCATAGAGAATATAATCACTACATTTAAGAGGCGGGACTTCCATAGTAAAAGTAAATGCATGAAAGTACGCCAAGCTACTCTACCAACATCAAGATATGACATTTAGTTTTGACAAACAGTGCTGATAACATTGACGAATCACAATAGTGCTGAATGTCTATCCAGGAATAATTTTATCCATATTACCTTTATCGATATATTGTTAATCGATATTTTACATAATAAAAGTTAGATCTCTATACTGAATTATTTATGAGAAATAAATTTTTTAACGTGGGGATTGAGTAAAAATGCCGATGAGGAAAAAAATCAATGTATTTTACACACAGCGATTTGTAATTATATCTCTACAATTAGGTACAAAAATATGTATAAAGAAAATATAAAATAAAAAACGCACTATTATACTAGAATTTAATTAAGTAAAAAATAAATGACGACTCCGTAGCGCAGTGGCTAAGTGTTTGGCTGCAGCATAGCAGGACCGAGGCTTCGTTCTTGCACTGAACAAGTGTTGCTATGCTGTAAAATAAATAGTCTGCGAGTGGATGCTTGTTTTCAACGTTAGTTTTTTTTTTAAAGGGTAAACATATTAGGTTTTCACTGATTGGATCAAATTGCTTTTATATGTAACAAGTACTATGTACAAATCGCTAGGCTTCTTAACAGAGGTAGCTATGTACATACTACTCGCAGAGATCGTTTACTAATTGTCGCTTTCAAAAATGAGTGCTAATTATAGCAAATGTTTGTAGATGAATCTATAAAAAATATTTATAACCAGGTACAAATAACTTTGAGTTTATTTATATAATCGAATTCTTACCAAAATGTGACTTTAGAAGGGTATTATCTTTTGCTACATGTAAAAGGAACTTAATTAACATACACATAATTGTAGAAGTTTAAATTAAGTCCACTGATGAAATAACAGTTCGTTTTAGTTGGGTTCAAATGCAATGTTTGCCACAAAAATGTTTTAACATGTGAATCTTTTCAATTGGTGTATGTGCCAGCTATTTCACCCATTGCTTGCATCTGAAAAAATTATATAAATAAAATTACATTTTTATTGAACAAATAGAATGTTTGCAGTCACAATTGATTGTGTAGTTTCTAAGTATAGTTCGTTTCGCATAGCCATACTATCGAACTATCTGATTTAGGAAATAGTGCACACAATCGTACAATATAAAAACCTGTCCTACGTAGATGGCTAATCCAAAATGTACTCGCGTTAAATATCTAATTACTATTAAAGTTGAAATCACCACATACCTTTCATTATCTAAGGGAAATATTGCTACGAATAGCCTTTTCTTGTTATCATTTTTTCCACTTCTTGCACCATTTAATTGGAAAGTTTTATATTGCATATTTAATTTTTTAACAATTCTGTAAATGAACAACGGCTCCTATAGCAAAATTAAAAGCAATCTCAATAAATAAAATTTGTACAAATATTATTTTATAATTATAAAATTTTGGCAAATGCTAATCTGAATGGATCAACTGGGACTCTACCATGAAGTAAAGTAACTCTACTATGGAGTGTAGAAAGAAGGAGGACCATCTCTATACAATGAAAAGTGTCCCTCAAAACGTGTCCAATAAGGGTGGCGCTGCAGTATCATAAAATAAATTAAAAAAAAAAGCGCCAAAAGTAATTAAAATAAGATGGAGAATAAACAAGGACCGACCAATTCGCTTGGTTTTGTACTATGTAAATAGTTGAGATTTTGTATACTGGCATTTTACTAACTACACTAATCATGAAATTTTTTCAATATTTGAATTCAGCTGACTTCACTCCGTTAACAAAAGCTATCTTCACATCGTAGCATAGATAAATATATATGTAGCAAGCTACATCGTAGTTTTTCAGACGCCAGCGCTATTGTGGTAGGTTTTGGATTGGTAGGATTTTCAGTAAATAGTAGGACACTTTTTCAACTTTCGCCCCTTATAAGATGGTTCTCCTTGTAATCTACACTCCATAGACTCTACACATTAAAAGTAGTAGAGGTAGAGCCACGCCCTTCTTCTTCTTCTTAATAACTGGCTTTACGGCTCTGGGATCTAGCCCTTCTGAGCCTGAAGTTACAATATATTATAATAATTATCCTTCATAGTATACTGCTTCACAAAATGTTGATGCGTCACATTGTGCAGCCCTTGGGAGATTTTGACGGCAACTTGAGCCAGTAGACAGCTGATAGTTGGCGATGGTATCTCAAGGCGCCTAAGCAGACAGGCACCTTATTTTGAGAACCACATCACTATCAGAGCACTTGTTTCACAGTTTCCACTAATAGTTCACATGCGCAGACACTTAATGCACAAAATCGCACCACTTTTACATATCAAAGTCCACTTAAAACCATTATTTAAACAATAAAACAGGAGCATTAATCCTCAGAAGACACAAGTTTGCGCGTTTACCGCCAAAAAGAACCCCTTTGTCGTATCTCCTCAGTTTCAAGGCACTCCCCTTCTTGCCTCAGCCAGTATCGGTATCCTCGGAGTCGACATATCGAGTGACGTGCAGTTGCGTGGTCACTTGGAAGGGAAGGTCAAATTGGCCTCCAAAAAGCTTGGCGTGCTCAGCAGAGCGGGACAGTATTTCATGCCGGCACACCGCCTGCAACTTTACAAGGCGCAAGTTCGGCCTCACATGGAATACTGTTCCCATCTCTGGGCAGGGGCTCCCCAGTGCCAGCTCCTTCCACTTGACCGCATCCAACGCAGAGCTGCGCGAATCGTCGACGACCGAGCCCTTTCCGATCGGCTCGATTTATTGGCACTGCGAAGAGATGTTGCATCCCTTTGCATTTTCTTTCGCATCTACCATGGGGAGTGATCTGAGGAATTGTTCAGATTAATCCCAGCCGCCAAATTTCACGAACGCACATCGCGGCAGAAATCCCGATACCATCCACACCATCTGGATGATTGGCGGTCCACCACTGTGCGATTTAGAAGATGTTTTCTTCCTCGCACGACCTCCTTGTGGAATCGATTACCATCAGTGATTTTTCCGGACCGATACGACTTAGGGACCTTCAAGAAAAGAGCGTACTCCTTTTTAAAAGGCCGGCAACGCATCTGCGATTCCCCTGGTGTTGCAGTTGTTCATGGGCGGCGGTAGTCACTTACCATCAGGTGAGCCGCATGCTCGTTTGCCCCCTCTCCTATAAAAAAAAAACAGCAGCAAACCGCCACCGGTCAAGTTCCCGCCAAAACTCCTAGAGCCTCGCCGTAGCTGTAATATCACAGAGTATGTAATATGGTTGTAGCGCTAATGGACCGGCTCGACCGGAACCGGTAAGGACCACGTTATCACCGAATAGTAGCGAAAAATAGCAGATTAATGCTGCTGTTTCTTATGGTGAGTGTAGATAACCGGAAACCATTTTTAAGGGAAACGAGGCATACCACCTCAGTCAACACAACAACATGCAGACGCATGTTAAATCTTAATCGAGAATAGATTTAGATGTCTATTGGTCACAGGTACCATAGCATCCATTTACTATCAGGTGAACTGTGTACTCGTTTGTCATCCTTATTCTATAAAAAAAAATGACGGCAAGCGCTTTGCCCTCGAGCTATGGCAAAGCGCATGCCGTCATTTTTTTTGAATGCACACATGCTGCATTGAATAAATACAATAAAGGATACTTTTTAAAGAAGGATAAAGGAGGACACTGAATTCAGTGATAAGTTGTTGAATAATTTGGACAATGTCTATACACCTCAAGTGTTTATTTACACGTGGACTTAAATTCATAATTTTAATTTTTCCCGAAATATTACTTCAATGTTAGGGGGTTCATTTGCATCATGCTCCCGGCGGCCGTTTATTTCGACCGTTCTAACTTCATTTTAATAGACATAAAGATATATGTAATTGTATTATAAAATAGTTTGATTAAGTTCTTGGGTGACATATGGAAAGTTAAGAAATCATCTTACTCAACATACTCAACGATTCGCAAAAGTACCAAAAATCCTGATTTGCACTGCGTGAATAAATAATCAATCAGGTTTCTGACAAAAAATTAATATTTATTTGTTTGTGTTCTATGTGTGGTTATACCACAGTTTAAAGAGAGTACCATTCATTCGCTTAGGGCGCGTTACCACGACACGCACCCGCTACGCGCACGCCACGCGCGTCAGCACCCGCGTCTAACTAGCTTTGATATATATATATATATATATATATATAAATTTTATATATTATATATAAATTATAATTTGAGTCTTATGACAAATCAATAAATTTTAAATTGTATAAAAAGCGCGTGTACGGGGTGAGCGCGGGATCAGCGCGGAACGGGAACGAGACGGGCACGTAGCGGGCGCGTGGCGGGCGCGTGGCGTGGGCGAGGCGTGTGCGGATGAACGTCGATAAATGCAATTTCAGATTTATTGAATTGTTATAAGACTCAAATTATATGCAACAAATTTCAAAGCGAGTTAGACGCGGGTGCTGACGCGCGTGGCGTGCGCGTAGTGGATGCGTGTCGTCGGAACGCGCCCTTACGATGAAACTTGTAGTTGTTACGAAGATTACTGACAATGCTTTAAACCCAAGGTTGCGTGCGACGCATGCCGAGCATAGCTAACATAAATTAAAAGAAAACATCTTCAGGGTTAGTACAGCACACACAGTAGACGAGTAAAAAAAATATCTTCGAGGTTAGTAATTTCAGTAAGTTTATTTAGTAATTACCGACAGTGTTGATTTAAATATTTTTTTAGTGAAATTATTCATGTTTTTTTATTTTGTTTTTTCTGGAAAAATATTGTTTACAGTTATCATAGACATGAACGAGGAAACAGAGGAATTTAAAAAAAAAAAAACAAAAATTGCGCCAAAACAAATAGGCTTAACGGGAAAAAAGCAATTAGTATTTACGATCAATATATTCTACTTTCATAATGCCGCAAGATCATTCTTTTTATAATTGTTTACTTCAATGTATAAATCAAAATAGGGATACATCGATACTGCTAGTAAGTTAAGGAGTGCTTACAATTATTTAACCCACTATTTTAAAAATGTAATTTACTTCAATAAACTTTTGATTCATACATTCTTTGTTACAGAATTTTGCTATTTCAATGCAATATGCCACAAAAAAGGACTTATATAAAATTTTGGAATTATTGCATGCAACGAATGATATGCAAGCGCAAGTTAAATTATTTTCTATCTTAGCCGCCTATATGGTATCAAATGTAATCATAACATAGTACTTTTGAAAATTTGTTACAGCGTATAATTTCGAATTTAACAAAATTGTAGGTTTACCATTGTTAAATACTGATAGCTATATATATCCAGCGATGCCAATGAACTTAAAAAAGGCTCAATAAACATGGAAAACGAGTAAAAAAAATGAGACGATTTAAAATATGAAATGGTGTTATTGGCTATAATAACAAAATATTTTTTAATTATTACAGGGTGCACATAGTGACGTAATAATAAAATTTAATCCTTTATATGACAAAATATGCGCGGTGTTGTCAAGAGGACTGCCCCTAAAGACCAATGTTACTCTTAATTTTCTTTCGGCACTTCTATACACCGACAACGAATGCGAATTGACAAAGCGAAGTACTCTAGTCGTATACGCCCAAAATATGCTACGATCTAGTGGCTGTCTAACCTCTATGTCTAATCTCTTCACCAGTTGTATGCTGGTAAGTTTATTATTTTATAATGTTTTTTATAGCAAACTATTTAAACGGTACCAGGATCTAATCCCAACATTTAAAATCAGATTATGGTTTTCCAGGTATAATGTCTTAGTATAGGTACTCTAATGTATCATTATAGTCCATCGGTTAAAGTTCGTGATCGGTTACTATTTAGTACTTGCTACTTTGCTCTTTCGTACTCAGACACAGAACACTCTACTCCTGGCACTACTTCGAGTGTCGAATAGGTACGTGTCGAAATTTAGGTATACGTAGTTGTCTGTGTGGCAACTTTGCGTTACCTACGAGTACGACATATTTAATATAGGCTCACATTTAGAAAGGTCAACTACTAATATTATTATTATTTTTATGATAGAAAGGGCTAGTTATAAATTATAATGTTTCAAGTATCAAAATACCAAAATGGGGAAATAGTTTTTTTTTTTAAATACTTTTCTTGATAAAATGACAAAAATGTTACAAAACCCACAAAACGTAAAATTTTCGGTAATTCCGTTTATTCTCCCAATAAAATCGGATACTCGGAAACGCGTGTTTGTCTATCCACCCCAGAATGGGTGGATAGCCGGAATTCACTTTTCACTTACAGACTCATACACTTTAATTATCAATTAATGTATAATAACCACAAACTTAAACAATAATCATATTACGTATTGCATTTAAATGTTTTTGTTGTTTTTTTTTTTTTATATTTAACCTCCGCACTAGGATTTTCTCCTGTATTGTGGAGGCAGTTTACATACAACAAATGAAACTCCCTCGTTTTAAATAATATTATTATGTAATTTATACATTTTTAGGAAATTACAGTTTCATTATTGAGTAGACGTAATTTTTTATCCTGAATAAACTCGTATCTTTTAATGTACATTTGCAATTGTTTTCTAAACTTTGCTAAACTGTGCTAGCACTTCTTATTAATTTGTGGCTACAGCAGATGTGTTGGCCAAAAACTGGGCGTTTTTAGCAAGCATTCCAAAAACTTTAGATGTTTGTCTTTAATTTCATTTAAAATTGTTTGTCAACATTGTAATGAATTTGTAGTCCAGTGAGGCACTCCTTTTATTTCAGCGTTGACCTTTCAAACATGAAGTATTTATATATAGTATTTATATATTTCAAACATACGTCTACTAAGTATCTTGGGAGTATCTTCGATTGAAAGATGTCCCAGTCCCAGTCCCAAAATGACTGTAGGTAACACAGCCGAGCGAGAAAATCGGAAGAAAAATAATATACGAATTCCGATTATCCACCCCGTCTGGGGAGGATAGATGATTACGCGTTTCCGAGTCCATCCTAGGGTGACTGTTTTAGGGACGATAAACGGAATAACCGATTTTTTAAATTTTTCATTCAGTATGTTTTACTTATTTAAGATTATTTTAAATATTGAAAAATAAGGAATGAAGTTTTTAATGTAGTTATTCAGACTTTCTAATTGTTAACTTGAACTTGTGATATTCCTAAATTAAATGAAATAATTTAAAGCCGACTTCAGAAAGTAGTAAGAGTATCATCGGTTATTATTTTTATTTTAAGTTTATTTTTATTAATTCCCTACCTTAAACGAAGGTTCAAAACTGTTACAAAACCGAATCGGCTAACTCCGGTTCCACGTAGTCTTGTCGATACTATCCCTGGAGTGTTTTTGTAAAGCATAAAGCGCGGTGGGAGAGCAGTCCCCACTTGCTGTAACCAGAGGGCGACCAAAAAAGCCGAAACTGTGGAAGCGACCATAGATGCCAGTGCTTGTTAAGCATAAAAGGGCGAAGGGGCTTTACAGCTCGAAGCGAATATAGAGCGAGCTATAGAGCATCAATTCACTGATGCTCTGACTTCTATCTGTTTCGTTTCCTGCCCAAATTAATTTAAAAAATCTCAATAATTATGCTTTTGTATCCCGTGATTTCCTTTCAGAGATCTTCTCTTCTTTCTCCATTGCTTCCTAACTGTCCTCCGTAATTTGAGTGCAGCCATAACCTCAAATATATGTTTTTTACTGGAGCAGTATGCTATGGGATCTCTCTATTTAACATAATCGATATAATATTGATGTATTTGATCGAATGTCAGCCAAAAAGCAATCAATCCCTAGAATCAATTGTTACGTTTATGTAATGACAACCTAGAATGTTTCATAAAGCTGAAACAAGAACTAAGAGTACAGTGTTCAAAAAGTATACTACTAATAATGTTCAAAAGCCGCCTAAAGTTAGTAAAAGTTAAATTGTTAGTTTTTTGTTACTGCGGCTTATAAGTACTTATAATAAAATCATTGTATAATATTACAAGGTAGCGTCACGTCAAACGTCAATCGATGATGTACGGATCCATAGTATGGTGTTTTATCAAATCGTTAAATATATAAAAGAAGAATTTTTCATAAAAAGCATCAAATTGAATTCAATTTTGAATTTAAAACAATCATGATCGGGTGATCAGAAACTAGTGTAAATTTGTTTAACCAGATTTCTAAACACTGCCCAGAATTCAACCATCAAAAGAATTTGATCAATGTAATATTAATCGTTTCGTACCATAAATAAATACGAAATGAAAAAAAGAATAGTCGCCACCATAGATAGGGTCCGCTTTGCGGATCTTTCTTAATTATCGTCTAGTGATAGTTAGATGGCCCGGTGTCTAACGTAGTCCATCGTATAACTTAAACATTTATATAACCAAAGCATCGTAGGCAAAGTAAAGTATCTTAAAATCTATAATCTAAAAATGCTTACAATATTATGTAATTAAAAAAGTTCTTTGCGAACTTGGCTGCAGCATCAGGACACATGGGGAGCACTTTGCCGTTGCCTTGTAGAAGCGTGTCGATGCCACGAAGCCAATCAGAACTATTGCTCGCATCTTATCCCTCTGGTAAGTATGAAGTATGTAAATTTAACAAATGCTAACATAATAACAAATCCACCATTATAATGAACCGTGTAGTGACGGTGTAAGAATATCCATATCGCCCTAAGAGGCGACAGAATTAAGCAAACTAGAAGATGAGTAGCAGCGTCTTTCTTATAACGTTTTGAAAATAAAAATCCGCCTGTTACGACGGTGTTGCCAGATTTAAAAAATTGTTTCGTATTTCGTTTCGTATTGTCACAGCGGTCCATGTGCCTGTTTCGGATTTTACGTTTAGTTTTTAAATATCAGCAGTGCAAATATCAGGTGTAGGTATTTATTTTAATTTTATAAATTCCATAAAGTATAAATTCGGAAAAAAAGAATTAGTGAATAAGTATATATAAAAAAAATGAGAAAAATACTAGTGAGTTACAGGGTTATTTTGCAATAGCCGGCCAAATTTGCAAAGAAGAAGAAAAAGAAGAAGAAGGTTCAGAATAAGTAATAGAGCCAAATGGTGAAGTAAAATTAATTAAAAAAACCCCTCAAACACTCTGTTCTTTGAATCTTTTAAATTGAAAATGCGTGGTAATACATTATTTCAACGGATTGTACATATTATGCCAAAGTTAATGTTTGCCTTCTTCTTAAATATTTTATAATAGCACATTGCACACGCTTTTCAGTGCGTACAACGATGTCAGCACGGAAATGAATACTTGTTTGAATTGCTACAAAGCTTATTAAGTAACAACGAACATAACATTCGATTGTTTTATGAATGTGGCGGCAAAAATATATTTGCTAGGTTTGTATGAATTTATTGATATTTTTTTTTGTTGTATTTTCCTGATGGGGATTTTTTAGCAAATAAACAATTCTAACAGAAGCACTGTCCTCTTCTGTTATAAATGTTGAAGTAAATTGAAATAATAAGCGATGTGATAACGGCATAAAAAACCCCATTCCTCCATTCAGTGGCAAATTATCCTTAAGGCAAACTAGGCGTGCCTTCCTGCTTACATAATACTTACGTAAAATAAAAATCAGGCTTTGTATAAAAATGTACAGCTTCCAAATCGCGCCCTGGCTACTTGATTACTCCTACAACTCCCTCGCTCTTTCATCATATTTTTCATTCATGCCCACCTGTAACGTGTCCTAATTATTTTGCAGCTAAACTATATTATAAAGTATACTTTAGTTTATTTTAAAGAACGTAGTTATAATTTTACTTTACATATACCTATTGCCGCCAGGCGGGCGCCGATGAGGTGCACCTAGGGTGCTATTGGCTTTTAATCCGCTCCTGCCTTCATTTCATCTCGCGAGTATCACGAAACAATTATTGGATAGAACTTATAGCTATTAATGGCGTCATTTTATACCATTTCGTATATAATTGATATAAAATACCCGCGACGGTGAACCAAAAGTGCGCGACTCTGGATCTGGTACTGCGGCCACTAATGTGCCTGCCGAACATGGAAATTACAAAAAATCCGTCTTCAATGAAAGAGGCCCGCTGTTACGGGCTGATGAAGAATAGTAAACTAATATTTATTTTTTATTTTGTAGAGAATTCTTAAAATATGATCAATGTTTACAACTCTTAAATACAATCGTATTAAACACTGTCTTCAAAAATAAACTCTTGGAAGAAACAAACATTCTATATAATTTGGAACACTTAAAACAACTGTATGGCCCTATGTCTCAGGTGATTATTGTAGATTACGTTTATAGAATACCTGAAAAACTAAAAATTTTATTTGTTTAGTATAATAGTACCAAGACTGACATTTTTCCAACTCTATTATTGTAGGTAGGTCAATGGGTCACAATAATTTTGTATAATATGAATTTAAGCCATAAAGGTAAGAAAATGTGATTAAATTTTTTAATAATGATTCTTGGAAAAATATTCTGATATTAACTATAAATCATCGATTTTACAGGATTTAAGAAACATGCAGAAAAAAATAAAACAAATATCTTTGAACCTAAAAGCGATATCTTGTTTCAAAATGAATGTGATAATAATGACGACACAACAGAGTTATTTCAGAATGTTATAAATGAAGTTTTTAATTTTGAAGCTATAAAAAACTCTAATACTCATAAAATATCTAAAATATACAAACGTAACATAAAGAACAATATACAAACAGAAAAATACTTAAATAAAACAAAAGTCCTAAATATGTGTAAAACAAACAATTCCATTTTACGAAATAATGAGAATTATCCGCATCGAATTGAAAACCCACCTTTCTCCTTTTTGCAACGTGACAATTCTGATAGAAAATCGATGAATTATAATTATTGTGAAAATCAAAAAGATTTTAGTATCACAAAAAGTATTTATAATCAAATTGATTCCAGTTTAGAGAAATCTCCCGCAACGTTGAATTATACAGAACTTTATGCTGAGAAAAAGGTTACTAACACTAAAGAAGTAAAAAAAGAAAGTATCTCAGACTTCAGCTTTAGACCACAATTTGTATCCACACCTAAAAATATTTATAGAAATGTGAGCAGGACGAATATTTCACATATATCTTTAAGAAAGTCACCAATAAACAAAAGTTATAAAAATGGACGATTACAAAAAAGTCATATTGAGAGAATAAAAACCGATTGTAAGAAAGTTAATATCAGTTGCCAACAACGCACAATTGGTGCTAGGTTATTCGACGCTATAAATGAATCTTGTACAACAATAATAAAGAGTGTTAGAAATGTATTCAAAACAAAAAAGATCGAAAAACCCCGTAAAGAAACTTTCGATAGCTCGAACATTGGTGATGTGGATATTCCACACTGCTCTAACAGTTTCACGAACTACATGCGAAAAAGAGAAGCTCTACTTAATGAACAAAACAGTGATTTGACTAGTTACAGTTTCCACAAGGAGTGCACCACTTGTAATGATACACTCACCCTTCAAGGAAAATTCGCAAACGATGACTTCTTACGACAAACCGTTAAAAAGCTTAAGTTAGGGATTAATTTATACGGTTGTGACTTTAAGGTGATAACAGATTTTTAAGTAAATCGTAAGTACCTATATAAATATCTTAAGTAAAACTCTATTTATAATTTATTTTATTTGCAGAAAATATCGAAAGCGCTATGGCCTCACGAAAGTTACATGACGCCTTCCGTTCTGTACAATTTGTACCGAAAATTAATTATTAAATAATTGTTAAATTATTAAATTTGACATTATCATAGAAACATCAATTTTCAACAAACGTGACAAAAATGTTTAATAAATATAACGTGGTCAAGATTTTTATGTTTAAGTGAAAAATTACAATACAAATTTTAAGGATATAGATAATTTTGTTTAACTTTTCTCGTTTTTATTTTATTACCATTTTAATAAAAACTTAAACTAAAAACTAAAATTAACATACAGTCCTACTCCCCGCGGTATAGCTTATAGCTAGTGCCAAGAACGCTACGCTATTTAATACGTATCCTCGCTGAATAACTTTATTTAGTCTCTATGCGAGAAAAGATGATTTTTGAAATTTTTAACTGACGGCAACACACGGATTGTTTCGGACGTGATGTCAGTTAAACTGCTCAGTTGAATTGACATACATCCAAAAATTGATCGTGAATGTGAAATCTTAAGTTAAAATTTTTAACTGACGGCAACCCACGTATTTTTCCGGGCGCATCGTAATCCGCTGGCTTCAGATCGTTTTCGTAAGTACATACTTTCTTAGTAGCTTTTATATATATTTTATGATTTTTTCTAACATTATTTGTATGCTGTATAGATTTTATATTATTTTATATATTTAGAGAAGTTGGTTTGACAGAGGATGGAGACCAAGGTGATTGTTATGATGTTACCTTCCTTACGGAGGACTCAGAAGGTGGGTAAAGGATCTCAGTGATACTACTACGTAGAACCATCGTGTTTGGACTCATTTTCAAATAGGTAAATGGAGACCTAGATGACTGTGATAATATCACCTTTATGTTGGTGCAATCCGAAGGTGGGTATAGGATCTCAGTGACGATACTAGATAGAAGGATCGTGTTTGAACTCATTTGAAAGGCTCATAAAGACCTAGGTGACTGTTATGACCTCATCTTTCAGATGGTGCAATCCGACGGTGGGTATAGGATCTCAGTGGCGGCACTAGATAGGACGATCGTGCTTGAGCTCATTTGAAAGGGCTCATAAAGACCTATTTCAATGTAATCACATTGAACTATATATAGTTCAATGTGATTACCATCATGATGGTGGACTAAGAAGGTGGGGTAAAAGATCTCAGTTATGCCACTACGAAACACCATCGTGTTTGGTTCATTTGAAAGGCCTCAAGAAGAAACTACACAAATAATATAAATATAATAAATAGTACAAACAGTATTATTACTCACTTTATAATGTTTTCAGGCAATTAAAAAAGCAGCAAAACTCCCAAGTAAGTACAAAATTAGAAATCGACCATATATTTTACAGGCAATAAAGACAAGGCAGAACGGAAAAAGCATAACCAATTACAACCAGAAGACGAAAATATCTGCGTACTTCAAGAAAACTTACAAGCACCATTAACACCAATTCCTATAAATGACCAAGTTACCTGTACTCAGTATTTAGAATTCAATGATTTTTGACTGATTACTACACATTTAATAAAACAAACTTTTCGGTTTTTTTTTTAAATTTAACTTATTTTAATTCGTGACGTTTGGGTGCTTCAACTTTATTTTAGTATCTAACACGTCGAGAGCTCAATTAGATAAACATAGAAAGCTAGGTCATCTTAACTATTTCCGTTACTGAAAACCGATAAGCATTATCTAGTCATCATAAGATTTTCAGAATATGCCCATGCCCACGGATTTTTTTTGGGCTCACCGTAACCGGAGTGCAAGTTAGTATCAGTGGGGTGTCGCCCGCTCTACAGATAGGTAATTTAATAAACAGATAAAAATAAATAATACATTTATTAAATAAATAAAATTTACCATAATGAATAAAATTATCATAATATCTGACCCATTTCTTAAAAGTGTCTTAATACTGACCTTATCATGAATAAAATATCTTTTGAAGTGTTAATATATAGGTAACTATATTTATATATATATACGGAACGGATTTCATTTCTCGATCGACGGAGCCGCAGCCGTTTGCGTTTACTTGGCGTGACTCCTATAAATTAAAAATATAATTTCCTATCTATTAACTAGTTGTTCGCCGCGACGCCGACGATTGGATTTCATGGGTTTTAATTTTTTGCGCGGAATCCTAATTCGATTTCTAAATTAAAAGTAGCCTAAGTACCTCTATAATATCAGCTATCTGCCACTAAAAGTCTCGTCAAAATCTGAGAGAATCCCTTGCTGAGCATCCACCACCATTATTCCATTCCTGAGCGTGGGTGCTCAGGCTGCCCCGCGTATTCAGGGGGAGGGGGGAGGGGGCAAAATTCCGCTCAACACAATAACTGCTCGGGGTAAACTGAGCAACAAGACCAAGGCGACACCTGCCACGCTATCCGTAGAATTTCTGCAACATCAGGAGACTTCACTCGAACCTAAACGCCGTCCACTACCATGTCGAGACGGCGAAGCCGGCCTTGCTCTTTCTGACCGAGACGCAGGTGTCCTCTCCGGCTGATACTTCGTATCTCTCCTACCCGGGGTACAAATTGGAGCACTCCTTTGTGCCTCGGGCTGGAGTTTGCGTGTATGTCAGAGAGGACATCTGTTCTCGACGCCTCGGCAGCCTTGAAGGTTCGGACCTGTCCATCCTTTGGCTACGCGTAGACAGCGACGACTATCCGCGCGACTACGGGTGCCTCTATAGGTCCCATAGCGGTAATGCCGAAACAGACCACCGACTCATCGACCACGTCCAAATGGCTACAGATTCCTTGCTACAACAGGTCCCATCCGCAGAGATCGTGATCCTTGGCGATTTTAACGCCCACCACGCTGAATGGCTCGGTTCACGTTTAACCGATCATGCGGGAAGATCTGTTTATGACTCTGCCTTGGCATATGGTCTGACACAATTGGTTACATCGCCTACGCGGATTTCAGATGTTGAGGATCATACACCTTCCCTGATGGACCTTCTGCTGACCTCTCATCCGGACGGATATCAGGTTTCCGTCGATGCCCTTCTTGGCTTTTGGGACCATTGTCTGATCCGGAGTGTGGTGCCACTCACGCTCCCCTCGCACTTGCGTTCTGCTGGTTGTCGCCGTGTTTGGCATTACAGGTCGGCGGATTGGGACGGAATGCGGTCTTTCTTTGCTTCCTACCCATGGGGGCAGGTTTGCTTCTCGCCGGATGATCCCAGCGCTGTTGCTGACTCTGTCACTGATGTGGTGCTACAGGGAATGGAACTATTTATTCCATCATCTGTGGTAACCATCGGAGGCATATCTCGGCCTTGGTTTGGTCGCTCCTGTAAGACTGCATTACGCAGTAAGCAGGAGTGTTATCAAGTCTGGGCTGCGGCTTCTGCGACTCGGGATGTAAACACCAGCATACTTAAAAAGAAGCATAACTTCGCCTCCAGGTCCTTCAAAAGAGTTATTGCCAAGGCAAAGTCAGAGCACATAGGCAGAATTGGCGAGAATCTAGTTCGCCTTCCTTCGGGAATCCGTGCATTCTAGTCTCTCGCCAAGGCTGTCCAAAGGAATTTCTGTAAGCCATCACTACCATCTCTGCACAGGGAGGACGACTCACTGGCTCACGACGCAAAAGAGAAAGCCGACCTTTTAGGCTCCCTTTTTGCGTCCAACTCGACTGTTGATGACGGGGGGAATACACCGCCGACCATCCCGCGGTGTGAGTGCTCCATGTGATGTGCGGTTCTCACAGCGCTCGGTTCGCAGAGCACTCCTCTCCCTTGACATCCACAAGTCGAGTGGGCCTGACGGAATCCCCCCAATTGTGCTTAGGACGTGTGCTCCGGAGTTGGGACCGGTTCTAACGCGTCTTTTCCGGTACTCCTACTCTCTAGGCGTAGTCCCGAAACCATGGAAGACAGCTTTTGTCCACCTGATCCCTAAAAAAGGCGACCGCTCAGACCCGTCCAACTACAGGCCTATCGCCATCACCCCCTTGTTCTCCAAAATAATAGAATCCGAATAATTCAATTTCAAATTCAATTAATAGAATAAACTGCCACTTCATGCGGTACCTTGAGAATTACCAGCTGATTAGTGACCGCCAGTACGGTTTTAGTCGGGGTCGATCAGCTGGTGATCTTCTGGTCTACTTAACTCATAGATGGACGGAGGCAGTAGAGTCCAAAGGCGAGGCATTGGCCGTTAGTTTGGACATTGCGTAGGGCTTCGATCGGGTTTGGCACAAAGCCCTTCTTTCGAAGCTCCCTTCCTATGGGCTTCCCGAGAAATTATGCAATTGGATCACCAGCTTTCTTGCAGATCGGAGCATCAAGGTCGTTGTAGACGGTACATGCTCCGACTACAAGCCTATTAACGCTAGTGTTCCACAAGGCTGCGTGCTATCACCAACGCTGATTCTCCTGAATATCAATGATATGTTGCAAGCCGGTAGCATTCATTGCTATGCGGATGACAGCACTGGTGATGCTCTATAGACTGGCCGTGCCAATATTTCTCGGGAAAACGTCACCGAGTACCGGAACAAACTTGTGTCTGAAGTCGAGTCTTTGCTGGACAAAGTCTCGGGACGACTAAATATCTAGTCCAGTTTAATCCTCAGAAGACACAAGTTTGCGCGTTTACCGCTAAAAAGAACCCCTTTGTCGTATCTCCTCAGTTTCAAGGTACTCCCTTTGTTGCCTCAGCCAGTATCGGAATCCTCGGCGTCGACATATCGAGTGAGGTGCAGTTTTGTGGTCACTTGGAAGAGAAGGCCAAATTGGCCTCTAAAAAGCTTGGCGTGCTCAGCAGAGCGGGACAGTATTTCATGCCGGCACACCGCCTGCAACTTTACAAGGCGCAGGTTCGGCCTCACATGGAATACTGTTCCCATCTCTGGGCGGGGGCTCCCCAGTGCCAGCTCCTTCCACTTGACCGCATCCAGCGCAGAGCGGCTCGAATCGTCGACGACCGAGTCCTTTCCGATTGGCTCGACTCATTGGCGCTGCGAAGAGATGTTGCAGCTCTTTGCATTTTCTTTCGCATTTACCTCGGGGAGTGCTCTGAGGAATTGTTCGGATTAATCCCAGCCGCCAAATTTCACGAACGCACATCGCGGCAGAACTCCCGATACCACCCACAACATCTGGATGATTGGCGGTCCACCACTGTGCGATTTAGAAGATGTTTTCTTTCTCGCACAACTTCCTTGTGGAATAGTTTACCACCAGCGATTTTTCCGGACCGATACGACTTAGGGACCTTCAAGAAAAAGCCTACTCCTTTTTAAAAGGCCGGCAACGCATCTGCGATTCCCCTGGTGTTGCGGTTGTTTATGGGCGGCGGTAGTCACCATCAGGTGAGCCGCATGCTCGTTTGCCCCCTCTGCTATAAAAAAAAATGACAGTTCATGGAAAAAACTGATAAATTTTTTAGTCGATTGTACAACATTGTTGTCCTATATTTGTTTTCTATATACGACATCCTGCAGAAAGAGCGCCACGCTTCACGGCTAGCGCTTGTCAACGTTAAAAAATCTATAAAATAGTAAAGCAATTTGAGAACACATCAACAAGTTTCTTTTTATTAATTAACATAAACATTTCACTGCGAGAGGTGTAAGACTCTAGCCTAGACTTTAGTAAGATTTAACCGAATGCACTGATTCACTAAATATTCGTCTACTTGATCTGGATAATAATTAATAATATTATGTATACTTTCCAGATCTATGTTTTCCATATTGCTATCATCCAAATCCATTAAAAAATTTAATTTCTCACTATACATAATTTTTAAATGTATGATTGTTTATTCTAATTTATAATAATGATGTATATTGATGGATTAAAAATTTAATTGTATAAAATTACAAATACTTTTATTTTTATTATATTTATTCCTATAATGTGTGCTAATTATTTCATAGGTCAACTTACCCCTAGTGACAAGTCAACCAACCCCGGGCATGGGGTAGGTTGACTCATATTTCGTGTTCTACAAAATTAAGCCTGTGCACTATATCATAATTAGTTGCCAGCTTTTTGTTGTTTGTTTCAGAAGCTTAATAGTTTACCTATCAGATGTATTGATTTTTACAATAATAAACATCAAAATAATGAAAAAACAAGCGTCTTCACTGAAATTTGGTCAACCATCCCCGGTCTCCCCTAATATGTCTCATAGATTTGGCTTCTCCTATTTAAATCCAAAACAACTTATCCAACGAAACGTTTAGCTTGTCTGTTTTAAATTTTACTGTGCTGTAAACTGAGACTTAATTTGAAAATTTTGAAGTAATCCGCCTCTTCGTTTATGTTACTGTACGCGTATTCTGGGTTATTGTATTAAAATTTTTAGCTTTCTTCTCGTATAATTATGTAAATAACTTTTTAATGACATAATTAACTTGTAGCTTTCACAAATAATTCTCTAATTAAAAAAAAATATCTATATGGTATTATAGTGTATAGGAATTAATAAAGTGGCGATACTCGATTAATATCGTAGTAACTCTTAAATAAATTTCGAAAATTAACTTTCTCGTCCTCATTTCCACTAAAACTTATGAAATTTTCATAACATCATCATAGTTATTTTTGAAGCTTTGACAGCTAATGTCTTAAATTGAGGATGGGAGCCCTTTATATCCACGGGGCCATTGCCGGCAGCCTAATAAACCCATATATAGATCCGCCCCTGTAAGGATTAACGGTCGACCAACTTATAAAATGTATTTGGATCAGGTGTTACATACAGCATAAATTCAATCAAATCGAGCAGAGCGGCCGAGCCTTTGACGAATTTCGATCGAAGGTACTTTTTTAGCAAAAGGTGGTCGAAATCGAAGCGGGAGCATCGTTCAGTCACTTATAAATTCTGATTAAGGACTCACTCTGTAACGAAATATTTCTATTAGACTATAGGATTTCTGTACTGCCTAGAAGTCCTAGATACCACCATCTTACCTATTTCTACTGTAAAATAGAAGTGCTTGTCACGCTGTGTTCCGATCCGAATGAATAAATTAGGCTTTGAGACATTCTTTCTTAGTCTTCAGTGGTGACAATGCAACGCCTTCAATGTCTAAAGTTGTCCATGGATTATATATATAGCCACTTACCATCAGGTGGACTGTAAGTTTGTTTGTCACTTTAGTTTTGTGACTAGTGACTCAGAAATCAGAATGCGAGTACAACGAGGGCTAATAATCTTCCACTCACCAGATGTCGCTTGTTGTGATTGAGGTAAATTTTTTCGTTACATAGTGTCAGTTAATTAAGAAATTAGTTTTAAATAATAGTTTATCATTAACTAAAGTATTATATTAATATACAACAAAATGCGTCAGTGGTTTGATTTTAAATTTTTTGCACTTTATAACTCTTTTTTTAATTTATCTACTTTAAGTTATATTTATAGTTTAGTTTATTCATTTCTAATGTAATTAATAAAAAATATAACTAACAATACGAAAAGAAACCTTAAATATTACATTTTCCTAAGAAATTATCGTGCCCGCTATGAAATCTGTCAAATATTTTACCTCACTGTAAAGTGGCGCCGCTCTGGTGGCAGAAAAAGTTGTGGATGCCCTCACTGGTTAATTACGGTATTTGTTGATTCAAAATTGTAACTCTTTTAATGGCTTTAAAATAATTATTTTTGGAGTTTACTCCTTAAGAATCGATTTTCATGATTTATAATATATCCAGGGGTATGAACATTTATGGGGAGTAAAATCAAACGTCACGTCAACTAACTGTCAATTTGCGGAGTTTTGATATTAAATTTCATAACCACACAGCACAATTACTCTCTACCGAGAGCTTATAATCGTTCGTAAGGAGTAAACTCCAGTCGTGCGTCGGAGCTGGCACATACACTTTTTTTGTTATCTACAACAGCGAATGAAACCAATCCTCATATGAATAAATATAATTCAAAACAAAAAGTATTCACAATAATATTATTTTTATAATTTACTATAGACTGACTCATGTACCACCATGTCTCTTGTTATGTCTGCGATGCTTGAAGTACCTGAGAGACACAAAAAATTAAATTTATTAAAACATCTTATTATTTAGCCGACTTTAAAACAAGGAGGAGATTCTTAATTTGTATTTAATTATAATATAAATTAGTTCTGTATATTATGGTGTATCCATGTTTTTTTTTGTATGTATGTCGTGTATGTACTCAATATCTTCGTCAATTGTGAACCGATTTTAATGATTTTTTTTTCAGTAAATAAGTTATAAGTATTTCAGGGGTGGTCCCATATAAATTTAAAAAAAAATCATACTAGGGAACAACTTTTCAATGTTATTTCTTTGTTTACTCAAATGGGTAATAAATTAGACTTAAAGGTTGGCTTAAATTAACTAAAAAAATAAAATAATTTGGCTTAATTGTTGCGTCTTAATACTAGTCTTAGCGCCGACTTCTGAAACTATTATGTGTAAATTATTTTATTCTTTTTAGTTCCTCGAAATCAGGTTTTACTGTATATAGATAAGCGTCGAATTTTTCTGCATTCTTATATCGATTTAGGATTATTACAAGTCCACTGCTGTATAGCATAGAATAGAATAGAATAATTTTTATTCAATATTGATTAAGTACTTCTTATTGAAAGTAATTCTTATTGAAAGTCATTTTTTTACTTTACCACTGGTTCGGAAAAAAAAACTGTCCTGGGAAGAACGGATACAAACTATTTACAAAATTTATTTTAGAAACAGGTTGGAAGCGACCACCTCATTCCCAGGGGTTGTTATCAACCATGTATTCATTTAATTATAATAACCCTTTTTATACAGTTTTTGTTTAATTAAATATTTAAACTTGGTAGTAGAGAGAACATAGGCCTCCCACATTTATTCCATCTGAGTGCAATCCTGATCTTGAGCCAGCTATATCAAGCTACTACCTGTGTTTTATCAGGCCGTCACTCTATCAAGCGGTGGTCTGCACCACACAAAGCTATTTTTATTCGGCATGCCTGACAAATTAAATATGTATATTTCTGGGATATGATGTAAAGTCCATGGTGAAGAACATGGAGTATCGTAGGGTCCGCTAATAATAAATATTCATGCAATGTTTTCGGAAATGTATTTAAAATTATAGCAAGCGAGCTTTTAATTTTTTGTTTTGCGTTATAGCCCGCGGAGGGGAGTAAAATAAAATTTAAAGATAAAGAAAATGTCGAAAATATATATAGTTTGATAGTTGGGATTTTACTCAGTAAACAAAAATTATTAAAACATTAAAAAACTCGTAAACATTGTATTTTGTGCCGACTTCCAAAAAGGAGACGGTACTCAATTCGACTGTATTTTTTTTTGTTTTTTTTTATGTGTGTTACCTCATAACTTTTTACTGAGTGAACCGATTTCGATGATTCTTTTTTTATTTGAGAGCTGGTACTTCTCGTGTGGTCCCATATGAATCAAGGTCAAACTAATAGTTTTTGAGTTATTCTTAATAACCTATATTGAAGTCGGCAGTACAAAATTTTTAATTTTTAATTTTTTCCCTCTGTTGCTTTTTACAACACCCATGGGATGACATAAGGCAGTAGAATCTTTTACGCCGCCACTACAAGGCAATATTATCTTACTCAAACTCAAACACGAACGTATTATACAGGAAAGCTTCCTTCATCAAATTCTTCAAATTACAGTTAAAACTACAACAATATCCACAAACGCGGATAAGCGACGTTTGTATTGACTACGAATTTTTGCATAATACTGTTTTAAAAACTCTAAAAGCCGACAATCAATGGGAAAAAACGGTTCTAGAGTGGCAGTCTCTAGGTAAGCGATGTATAGGACGGCCTCCTACTAGATGGAGTGACGACCAGGCAAGAGATGCAGAAGGTCAATGGGTACATGTGGTCAAGGACTGTTTTGTGGCGTCCTTTAGGAAAGGCCTATGCTTTGCAGTAGATTTTTGATGGATAATGATAATAATTATGATGATAATTAAACTTAAATAACAAACTCATTACATACCTGCCAATTGGAATGTGGACTCTAATTCAGTTCTAAATATATTAAGCATGCGTTGAACACCAGCTTGTCCTCCTAACGCTAATCCCCACAGAGCTGGACGGCCGACAAATACCTAGAGAACAACGACATAGTAAATATAACAGAAAGGTGAAAAGGAATGTAAACATTTCTTATGCATTCAGTGTAATTGCAACACAGAACATTGCAAAAAATGATTAAAATCGATACTTAACTAGGGGAAAATAAGAAAAAAATTAAATGTTAGAACAATAATTACCGCCTTTGCACCAAGAGTCAAAGCTTTATAAACGTCAGTGCCAGTCGTGACTCCGCCGTCTAAGTACACTTCAACATTGTAATTCTTAACTGCTTCAACTATTTCTGGAAGAGCCTCAATCTGTAAAATATTTGATAAAAAATAGGCATTCTCTAAATGATTGTATTTCTATATTTAAATTTATGGATAGATGAAGATAACTATACTCTAGACCAGTGTTTCCCAATCCGTGGTACGCAAACCCCCAGAGGTATGCGAGGTTACTTGAAGGTTGTTGAAGGAGTGTACCACTCTTGGCTAAGATAAAAAACTACCTAAAAATACAATTGCCGAACTGTACATGTTAAAAGTGCATAGTTGTTTCATAGAATTTAAATAACGGATGTGATTTTTATAATTAAAGTTAATAAATGACAAAAATTTGATTTCATCTTTTATTTATCATATCGGCTGCAAGGGATACGCGAGTTTAAGCTCTTTTTCGGAGTGATATGATACCTAGAGTCACGCTGCAACTACTCGTATAATATTATGGTTGAGTACGAATAGGTCGGCTCGACCGGGGAAGGACCACGATCTCACAGACTATCTGTCTTAGTTTTCTATTCTAGTCCGCTATTCTGTCTTAGTCTTCAGGGGTGACAACGCATCGGCATTTTGATTCTTAATAGAGGGTGAATAAGGCAAGGGACATGTGAATGTCTATAGGCCACAGCATCGAATTACATTAAGTGGACTGTGTGCTCGTTTGCCACTCCATAGTCTATAAAAAATATTCCGACTATTTCAGAACCACACTCCTTTTTTTGAAGTATTTTAGTAAAGATCATTTTTTTACTTCTTTTTACGTAAGTTTATTTTGAGTCTAACCCGCTAGCACACACAAATTATTGTCAATGGCCCTATTGAAAATCGAGTTTAACACTCCTTTTCTAGACCAATAAACAATATGTATAAATGATTTGTAGGTGTCGTAAGAGGCGACAAAGTACATATAGGAAATTCCAGAAAGATCTCATGGTCCCCGATAGATGGCAGAATGACCATTTTATTACACCAAACATTAAATTCCCACATCTGCGAAAAGAAGCAACGTCAAAGGCACGACATGTCTGGTATTACGGTCGTTAAGCAAATTCAACCTACAATGTGAGAGGTACATTTTTATTCAAAGATCACCGAGACAGAACAGCCAACTAGCCAATGTCATTTTCTTAATTCAATTTAAAGGACTGACAGTTGCCAACTAGGCCACCAACAGGTTTAATATTATAATTTCTAAATCAAAGCGTGTTTAAGATGTCTAAGTTATTTTATTAATAGTAGATAATAGGTAATTATACTTTTTTACCATTAGCTGGTTATCATTGATTCGATGTTTTATGAAAATACATCGATATATCGAGTATATTAATAACTTTCCAAAACATCGGATCGATCCGATGCATCGTATTGTAATAAATCATGATATACATCGATGCATCGAATGAATTCGATGCATCGATGTATATCAAATATCCCTAACGACATCTTGGTATTACGGTCGTTAAGCCGTCTGGATGTTTTAGTTAATGCAAATTCACCCTACAATGTGAGCATTGGCGTAGCTAGGCGTGGGCAAAGTGTGCCCCTGTCCACGGCCGCGCATTTAATAAGGCCTCGCGAGGCTTCTTTAAATGGAATGCCCCCAGACCACACCACAGAAGACTAATTAATTTGATCGATTTTACGATTTTTAAATTTTAAAAGCGTGTTTGTTTGGGGCCTCGCAAGAAGCCCGTCTCAAGTGCGACTGTGAGGCTGTTGTAACTACCTTCAAAGACCATGACCGTTAGATTAACGGAATACGAGACTTCAGGTCAGGAATTAATAGGAATATCGTGTCAAAGCATGTTTGGTAGGATACATCTATTGGGTAGATCTAGGGAATGAAAGAAAAGGGGCCCCGCTGATATGATTTCGCCTACGTCTAAATTAGTCCAAGTTACGCCTCTGAATTTGAGAGGTCCACGTCCAGCATTGGACCTATTTTTTTTACTACTAGGATTTTCTCCTGTATCGTGGAGGTACCAGGACAAACATCCAGTCCCGGATCAATTATTTTTAGGCCATACAAATACTTGTTTCGTGCGGGATTAAAACCTGCGGCCCTCGGCGCTTCAACTTATTGCTAAGCCACTGCGCCACGAAGCCGACTACTGATTGACTTTAACCACTAATGAAAATAAAGAAAATGTATAAATCATAATATCAAATATCAGTTTTTGAAATCGGTTAGTACTTACCGGTTTGTAATCTAATTTGTAAAAGTACTACAGGTTTCTGAAGTACGGTCAAGTAGTTATGTACCGTTATAAAAACTATGTTTTAAGAGTTTCTATTAAGTACTTGATATTAAGAGTTCACGCTAACAAACGAATTAACTATCACCATTGCTCCAAGCAGTGTTAAAGTTATTATATTTATTTAATTACTATGTGGATATTCGAGATAGAAAATTAAATGAGTACCTAACCGCCGTTAATTCCATCATTAAAATATATGCATTTCTAAATTTCTAAAACGTAGTGTTGTGTGTGATTAATGATTATAAATTTATCAAAAAGAATGTACTCTTTGATATTTTATAAATTGTAGACAGAATTAAGATCCTAACTAAAGATCCTTAGGTAAGGCTCTGAGGCATAGATAAGCTCTAAGGTAAAGGCTTCAAGTCGAGAAAATTATTTGACAAACTGTATCTTTAGTCGACCATGCACAAGTTTTGTTGTTTTATCTGATGCAGGGAGGTAAGAAACCATCTCCTTAGTGTAAAATAGTATTTGAACAACAGAGGATATAGTGAATTTAGATCAGGTTGATGGCAAGTGATTACTGGTAGGCGTGTGTTCTAGTGCCTTACCGTTGCTGGAACTCCATCCAACTGTCTAGCGCCGTGATTTGAAACTAGGATACCGGCACACCCTGCTTCTACAGCTTTTACAGCTTCGTCACCACGAAGAATACCTTTTGCAACAATTGGTAGCTTGGTGATGCTATAGTAAATAATAATTAATTAAATAATGTTATTTTGGGTTCTTCACTACTGGCTGCATGAAGCTTTATATCGCCCTGCGAGCTATGGAGAGGGCTAAGCTCGTGGTTACTTTGTGTGTAATAAAATATGTTATGAAGATATCTGCTGTAGAACTAACAAAGAACCGACAATCAATGACGAGGAACGTTTCTCGACTGGCAGCGTCGTTTTGGTATGCAAAATGTAAGTGGCCCACCAATATATGACCTGGTAAGACATGCGTCCATGGATGCAGGTGCCTCAGAACCATATTTTATGGCATTATTTATGGGTGGACTTGTAAAGGACTGTAATGATGGTGATGATGATGGAGGATGGACTTATTAGCATTGTCCATAATCCATAACGGTATTCACCCGCGTAAATGCAAAATATTATACAATAATATAAAAATGAACGAACTTTCTCAAGGTGTGGCGGCGAATATCAAAGAGTATAATATATAGTATTAAATTCTTGATTTGATACCACTATATATATACTACATATTACACTATTATATGTTTGATATGTACAGGATGTCCCAGAACTCAACGTCAAGCCGAAACGGGGTGACAGAATTGATTGTAACCATCATGAGAAAAATCAGAAAAAAAAAGTCTATCCCATGCAGTTTGGAAATTATGGGCATTTAAGAAAAACCTAAACCTAAGACTATTTGTTAACTATGAATTTAAAATTTTCAAAAATTGTCGACTCTGAAAGGCCCTCCTTTAAAAAAATGTACTAAAGTGGCTTGGAAAGTGCCATTAAAAGTTCGCGCATTTAATCAGAATTGTAAAATGGTACAATACTTGTTAGTTTCATACTAAAAAAAACTAGTAAAAAAGTAAAAACCTCGAGTAACCCGATTTTTGCTAACCCATTTTACTCAGTTGAAAGGTTTTTTATTCAAATGTTTTTTATTGACGTGAGAGATAAATAGTGGACATGTTTGCCATGAGCAACCGAGACAGAGACGCCACTTTTACGAAAGTTAACAAAAGTAAGTAAAATTAATAAAATAATGAAAAATCTTGACCTAGTTTAGTTTACATTTATTGGAATAAAAGTCAGATAGGGAAATAACATTTTTACATTATTATTATGCCTCTGTACCATTGTTCTACAAAATGAAATCCTTTCAGGATAATCTCGAGGAAGAATACTTTAAACTCGTTGTACGTGAAACGGATGCATTTCGGCTCTTTGTAAAATACGATGTGATGTGCTTTTGGGTATTCCCGTTCTTTCTTCAATTCCACAAACGGAAATACTTGGGTCATCTGCGACCTCTTGCAACACTTCTTCCTCGTAAGGAAAGCGAGCTCTACCACCAGCCCGTATTTGATTCGGGAAATGGCCGCCCTCCGTGAGTGAACGGTGCACATTAACAAACACGCGGTGATCCGAATAACGCTCTAGTTTGGATATCTTTCACGATAAAGTCTAGCGGCGGGACTTTCTTTGCATCTGCATTCCCCATAAATGAGGTGCATGTTCGCATATTCTTGTGAAGTGTAGCGCGTAGGCATGGTAGATAACAAGGATGCCAAGACAAAAGTCCAATTCCAAAAGAGAGAAGCCAAAGTTGCCGGTATGTAACTAACAAGTCCAATTCACAAAAATCCAAGTCCAAAAAGAGAAGCCAAAGTTGTTAAAACTAAATCAACACAAGCGTATACGGAAAGGTGCGCAGTAGACGAATGAGCGAAACGTACTAACTGGTGTCAGACGCATCTCCGTCTCACTGCGTGGCATCACTATTTGTCTCGGTCGCTCATGGCAAACATGTCCACTATCCATCTTTCTCATCATTTTGGCGTAAAATTAAGAACCTACCAAGAGCTTGTGCGAATAAAAAACATTTGAACTGAGTAAAATGGGTTAGCAAAAATCGGGTTACTCGGGGTTTTAATTTTTTTACTAGTTTTTTTTAGTATGAAACTAACAAGTATTGTACCATTTTACAATCCTGATTAAATGCGCAAACTTTTAATGGCACTTGCCAAGGCACTTTAGTACATTTTTTTAAAGGAGGTCCTTTCAGAGTCGACAAATTTTGAAAATTTTAGATTCAAAGTTTAACAAATAGTCTTAATTCTAGAAAACTTGGGGTAGTTGTGTCATTATTTTTGACTGAGGTTCTTAGAAATGTTATTTAGGGTTACGGTTCCAAAGTTTAAATGTACAAAAATAATAAAAATTAACCACAATAACCGAAAAATGGTTACAGTTTGACCAAATTTCTAGGTTTTTCTTAAATGCCCATAATTTCCAAACTGCATGGGAAATATATTTTTTCTGATTTTTCTCATGATGGTTACAATCAATCCTGTCACCCCGTTTCGGCTTGACGTTGAGTTCTGGGACATCCCTGTTTATAGTATATTGGATAGCGAAGATGAAGCGTTGACGTGACGTGCTTTACTTTTCTTACTTCTTGCTTACTTACTTACTTACTTACTTATCTTCACGCACAATCCCTGACGGGGTAGCCAGAGAGAACAGATCGCCAAGTGTCACGATCCTTACATATCTCTTTCGCTTCTTTCAGATTCATTATCTTCTTCATACATGCACGTCTAGGTATACTACTACTACTATACTATTACTTCTTGCGCTTGTTATTTTTGTGATCTGACTCTGAGCCTATCTGTTTCTGTATAAAAATACATTGCGCAAAAATTGCTGTGCTCCTTGTCTAAAATAAATTAAGAGGTATGTTTATTAAGTGGTAGTAATATGCACTTACCTCTTTAACCATTTTATTTCATCCCATGTCAGTGTCTTGTCAAATAAATTATTTACATATGTACTTAAACCACTTCCATCTCCTGATGAGTGTATTTTCGTTGCTAGATGACCTTCAAAATTTGCAAGCCTTAAAAATTACAAAAGAATGAAAAATAACGTTCTAAAGGCAATAACTTATACTATAAGGGGTATTATGATGCAATCTATGGAGGCCTTTGTTCAGCTGTGGATCTTGATGGGCTGTATGTGAATGAACGATGAAAAACGTTTCTTTGATGAGAATTAAAAAGAATTGAAATTAAGCTAAAATTTATATTATTTATTTTACGCACTTTAGTGTAGTAGATATCCTATGAAACAGTTCAAGATCTTTCCATGATTCTTCCAGAAAAACTTCGCGTAAATAATTATTTAAAATATTCATGATTCTAACAAAAAATATGGGTTTAGATGGAAAATCTACACAAACATAAACCCAGTATCCCTTTAGCCGCTTTTCACGAAATGCTAGTCAAGTAAAACAGTTGGCACATTAACTTTTGTTATAAGTCCCATATAGATACGGAACCTGACCAAAATGGGACACATTCTATATTTATGGACGAAAACTACTTATATAATAAATCTGTATGTTGTTTTAGTACCATAAAAGTAAATAACAAAATCTGGATCCGATAGGTGGCGCTTTGGTCAAGTTATTAATAATTTTTTTTCTGTTGACTACTCCGTGGCGCAGTGGCTTAGCAATGAGTTGCAGCGCTAAGGGTCGCGGGTTCGAATCCCGCATGGAACAAATCATTTTATGGTCTACAAATAATTATTCCGAGTCTGGATGTTTGTCCTTGAGAAATTTATCTCATATCTCATACACTGCTCACACATTTTACACTTTAAAAAAGCTCAGTGTGAGTTCGGAGTGAAACCTACTGGAAAGGGCAAAAAAACTATACGTATTGAATCAAATAAAATATATAAAAAATATGTATTGATAAAAATAGGTATTGAATCGTCAATCAATAAAGATAACGTAAAAACTTATTGAAGTAGGGAAACCAACCGATAATGTTGGTTGATTGACTAACATTTTTTTGATAGAAGAGGGGGAAGCGGGCTCGCAGCTCACTTGATGTTAAGTGTCGCCGCCCATGAACAACTGCAACACCAGGGGATTGCAAGTGCGTTGGCGCCCTTTTAAACAGAAGTAAGCTCGTTTCTTGAAGTTCCATAAGTTGCATTATGCCGTAAATATTGCCGGTGGTAGAGGTTAAGAAGTCATGCGATGAAGGAAACTCCTAATAAATCGCACAGTGGCTGATCGCCAAATATCCATATGGTGTTATCGTTAGTTTTGTCGCAATTCACCGTGGTAAATGTGATAGAAAATGCAAAGTGATGCCATATCTCTTAGGTCTTAGCAGCGCCAGTGAATCGAGCTGATAAGAAATATTTCTGTCGTTGACGATATGGGCTGCTCTTCGCTGTAAGCGGTCAAATGGAAGAAGCTGAGGGCCGGGGCACTGGGGTGCCCCGGTCCAGAGAACTTGCGTCCAGTGTAAAGTGGCAATCGGTATGCCGGCTTGAAGTACTGTCTCGTTCGAAGAGCTTCTTTTTAACGGTAAACACGCAAGCCTATGCCTTGTAAGGGTTAAAATGGACTATAATATTTAATCGTTTCCAATCGGAGACTATTTAATAAAGACCCGAATCGACTCGATAAAGAGACAAGTTCTTCCGAGACTCCACAAGATATTCTTGAGCAATACCAGCACGTCCGGTGTATAGAGCGTCACCAGTGCTATCATCTGCATAGCAATGAATGATACCGGTTTGCAACATATCATTGATATGCAGAAGATACAGCGTTGCAGTCGGAGCACGCATTTTCTACTACGACCTTGATGATTCGATCTGCAAGAAACTTGGTGATAAAATTGCACCACTTCTCGGGAAACCTATAGGAAGACAGCTTCAAAAGAGGCGCTTTGTGCGAGTCCGACCGAAGGTCTTTGCATTGTCCAAACTAACCGCTAAGGCGTCCCCTTTGGACTCCATACTGCCTCCGCCCATTTATGACTTAGTTAAACTAGAACATTACTAGCACAACGGCCCCAACGGAAATCGTAAAAGCGGCCACTAATCAACTGGTGGTCCTCAAGGTACCTCTTGAGCTGGCAGTTTATAATGGATTCCAATATTTTGGTGAACAAGAAAGTGATGACGATCTGAGCAGTGGACGGTCGGAGCGGTCACTTTTTTTACGGATCGGGTGCACTAAAGCTACCTTCCATTAAGACTACGCTTAAGGAGTAGGAGTACGGTAAAGATGCGTAAGAACCGGTGTAAACTGTGGAGCAAACGTCTTCAGATAAAAAAAAACTAAATTCTAAAAAGTCTTATTCATTCGTAGCAAGTCAAGGATTATGCTCAATTAATGAGTTCAATGTTATCGCCCAATTGATAAGTCAAAGAATGAACATGGACAAGACAAAGGTCATTTGTAGCTCAAATTTTTGACGGGCATGATTACTTAGAAATACGATAAATCGTCCGACTACGTAAGTCCAAATTCAACAGAGATCCATTTCGCCAGAATTCGGGAGATCACGACAAACATTCTCTCGTCACGTGCCTCAAAACTTGAAAATAGAAGTGTACAACCAGTGCGTGCTGCTAGTGATAACATTGGATCTGATACGTATTAGTACTTTACGGGCCGAATGAAGAAGCTCAAAGTCACGCAGCTAGTTTATGAAGAGGGCTATGCTCGGAGTTTCTCTGCGTAATAGACTTAGAAATGAGAATATCCGCAGAAGATCCAGATAACCAGGATAGCCTAACGGATCAGTAAGCTGAAGTGACAATGGGCCGGCCATGTTGCTTGAATAAACGACAGTTAATGGAGAAGAAAAAAGTGGCAGTTTCGTACCGGTAAGCGAAGTATAGGGTGTCCCCCTCTCCCCCCACTAGATAGAGAGACGGCCTGGTAAGATATGTAAATAGTCAATGGATGCAGGTGGCTCAGGACCGTGCTATATGATGTTCGGCGAGCTCTTTGCTCAGCAGTGGACTTGTGATGGGTTGTAATGATGATTCCGAGTGAAACTCATCGCGCCACCTACCGGAAAGCGCAGAACAACGTTTGCCAGGCTAGCGAGTGCGTATGTTATACAATTGTTTAGGTGTTTCATACATAGTACATACGACAGCTATTTTACGTGACACAGTGTATATAACATTACGTACTTTATGTGTATTGTGCACATACCTCAAATGTTGGGGCAAAGTGAATTTGTTCCGGACATCTGCTCTTCTTAGTCCAAAAAATGGAGTATCAACCGTCAGCGCAATTGCTTTAAAACCTGCCCTTTCTGCTCTCAATACTAAATTCTTTGTGACTTCTCTTTAATAAAATAAATAAAACAGTTACAGTAAAGCATTAAACAATTCTATTACGTAAAATTTATTTATTCTGTGGTAATTTTTAGAGAGAAAAAAATAGAATAACTAACAATAATATTATAATCAAATACTACAAAAACTAACAATAATGTTATATGTAACTGAAAACATAAGTGCATTAATGATGATGATGTTTCGAGATCAATTTCAGATTTTGTCAACCGCACAGGACAAACGATGACAGATTAGGTGACAGGCCAATGTACCAAAAACACAGTTCAGCTACCTACCACCTATTTTTACATTTCATAACAGGCAACTTTTGCCTTTTCTTCTACGCTGGGTTATAAGAATAGCTCTACCGTAACAGTTATTGAAGTAGTATAAGTTTTTCAAGACAATTTAATGTGTAATTATAAATAAATTATTTAATACCAAAAAACCAATTTCTAATAAATAGCATACGTGGAACATTCAATTCCACTTACCTGTCTTTATAAATATAAAGCTGAAACCACTTTACCGCCTGCGGGGCAGCTTTTGCTACTTCCTCTATTGAACTTGTGGCGATAGTGCTTAGCGTAAAGATAACTCCCTCCTTTTCGGCAGCTGAAATTCGAAAATTTCTAGATAGACCGTCCTCATTATCTATTGTCGTATATTATAACAGACGTAATTTAATAGGATTAGAATTTACCTTTCGCATTTGCAATTTCACCATCAGGATGAGCCATTTTCTGCATTGCCGTAGGCGATATACCCACTGGCATAGATACTTCATCTCCTAAGATAGTTGTGCGAAGATTGCAGTCAGTCAGGCCTACCAGACATTTAGGACGTATCCGCAATCTGTTGAAATATGTAATATATCCTATAAGTAAGCACGTTAGGCCGTCTTGTTTACGTTTTTTGTGTACAACAAATAACAAACAGCCAAGCGAAAAAATTACCATCACCGTGAAATGGCAGCATTGGAAGAATTCATCGTCCTCTTCAAACCGTGGGACTTGTAACTCGTGAATGTTAGCATTCGATAATTAGCTCCGGTGTCCGAAATAAATAACTTATTATATTATGTTTTGTATTTAAATAATTTATATTCTTGCAATCGCCAATCACTTCTCTTTACTTATTAAAAGCCACTATACTACATTACAATCTCACCTGCGGAGAAGCGGTGATAAAGGCCTAGACGGTCACTGTCTTAGCGTAACAGAAGCCTGTTGCCACTCTTCCCTTGAATACACCCCGATTATAATCTACGGAAAGTCGGAAAGACAGGCGCCGGCAAATTATTTGACTCATTTGTTGTATGCGTTACAAAAGACGAAGCAAACCGTTTGCTTCTAATGCGTGGAAATATCGACAACAAAAGGGCAGAGAAGAGACTCGTTACAAAAGACGAAGCAAACCGTTTGCTTCTAATGCGTGGAAATATCGACAACAAAAGGGCAGAGAAGAGACTCTAGTTATCCGATGGCGGAATTCCAAAATGTCCGTGCAAAATGCTTACTGAGTCTTAGAAATACACGTCCGCATAAATAATTATCCCATAAGCTAGGTCTCATCTCGCAGTGGATAAGACTTTTTACAGTGTAAAAAGAGTAATCCGAAAATACTCTACATAAAAACTACCTTTGGAAAGCACGCTTATTTTCCTTTAGGGTGTGCTCATCAGTTGCACCACTCCGATAATAATCTCTTGCAGTTTTCGGTAGGATGGAAGTTGCTGCTTCTTCTAATTCTATAACACTTAAATACTTCTCCATTTTATTTGGCAAGAATACAATTTGTAATTGGAGACAACTCTATAAGGAATCGACTATAAATATTCTTTACTACTGATAACATGGCTTGCTAATGATTTATCAATATACACAGGCCACAGGTCAAAATTGTTTTGTATGGTCATATATATATTTATTTAATTTATGCAATGTATCTGTTAAGAAACATTTATCATATTGACGCCAATACTACACAATGAATAAAACTGCACTTGCAGATTATATTGCGTTCGAGACTATTTTTTTAATTAAAGTTTTGAGCAGGGTTTGCATGACCGAAAAATTATCTATACTAATATAATAAAGCGGAAGAGTTTTTTTGTTTTTTTGTTTGTTTAAACGCGCTAATCTCTGGAACTACCAGTCCGATTTGAAAAATTATTTTGTATATTATAGCCAGATTCATGTGGAATAGTATAGGCTATCTAGCATTAAGCTATATCACTCAGCTAACCTTAAATATGGATATTTGTTAAGCAAGTCAGAAGAAAAAGCACTCCCGAAATGATTTATCCGCGTACGCTGGTGTTATCGTTAGGGATACGTAAATAAAATGTTCTAGAAAAATATACATCTTTACTCCGTCTAAAAAAAGTCCGCGATACAATATGTCTATTTCTTATATATGAGCCTTACGATACACACATTTTTCAGTACCGAAAAATAAGGGTACCGTTATATTTTTCGATACTTTAACCATCAACATAAAGGTATCTTTCGGTTACCGCCAGCCGACCGAGACACCGCAGACCCCGCACCGCACGCACTAGCAGCATTGATTGCGGTTCAAAAATACCTTAGCTTCTTTTAATAAGGTGACCCAGTGCGGCGAAAAATATATCATGCTGGTAAAATCAAAATCGGCGCAGAGTGGTTCGAATCGTCGACGACCGAGTTCTTTTTGATCGGCCCGATTCACTGGCGCTGCGCAGGGATGTTGCATCCCTTTGCATTTTCTATCGCATCTACCACCGGGAGTGCTCTGAGGAATTGTTCGGATTAATTCCAACTGCCAAATTTCACGAACGCACATCGCCTCAAAATTCACGATACCATCCTCACCATCTGGATGCGTGGCGGTCCACCACTGTGCGTAATACGAGTTTTCCTTTTCGCGCAACTTCTCTGTGGAATTGTTTACAACCGGCGATTTTTTCGGACTGATACGACTTAGGAACCTTCAAGAAAAAGCCTACTCTTTTTTAAAAGGCCAGCAACGCATCTTGAAATCCCCTGGTGTTAAAGTTGTTTATGGGTGACAGTAGTCACTTAGGTACCATCCATCAGGTGAGCCGCATGCTCATTTGCCGCTTTACTATAAAAAAAAATAAGATAGATGTTGTTGGTTGTTTATTTAATGTCAAAGGGACCAATGCTCATACAGCCGAGACTAATGTGTGTTTGTGTTTGTTCATAACACAGTTTAGTCAGTCCTATATTTTGTTCACAAAATTTTTTGCAATTGCTGTACGTATAGTTGAAAAGTTTTTAGGAGGTTTTGCCATCGGTTTAACCCAACGGACAGTTAATGACGATAGTATCCGAAGCCACATAAGCAGATAAAAAACATAGGATGTACGCATATTTTTACATCGTGACCACCACTACGATTAGTTCACATGTGCAGACATATATGTATGTGTATATGCGTACATATACACGTGTATATGCGTATTCATGTTTTATAAGTTCAGTCATGGGATACTCATCCCAATTTACCTGTCCGGTAGTTGTGGTATAGTATACGGGTATGCGACTTCCCTAGCTATTACTGTTCTATCCCTTGCCCTCCTGGGCGGTAATATTCTACATTTCCTATTTCCCACTCTAAAGGATGTGAAACCCCGGTTCATGGCCCCTACACGGCATACTGGTCGGGAGTCCCCCAAACCAGCTGAGGCTGTCAGGGAGTTGGTGTGATTCTTTCATCTCGAATAGTTGAATGTGTGATGGAGCATGAATGTGAAAGCCCAAGACTCCTCTGGATTAGGTTAAAACTCGGACTCACTCGCTTGTTTATCCTTGGGGTTTATGAAACCGACGGATCTGCACGGAGGTGGTTATTAAAAGCCCAACAAGAGAGAGAGGAATTTTGGGATAGCATGAGAGAGGTCTTGAATAAATGCGGAGAAAATGAACGAATCCTGATGTTAGGGGACATTAATGGGTGGGTTGGAGTAAAGCGTGATGGGTATGAAGGAGTTCTGGGTACGTTTGAGGACGAGAGAGTGAATGCCAATGGGAGAAGCCTGCTTGAAGTATGCTTGGAATGGAATCTGTGCGTGGCTAACACAATGTTTGACCACAAAAAGATCCATTTGTATACAAGAGATGAGGGTGAGTCTAGAAGTATGATTGATTTTGTAATTGTGGATGAAAGACTGAGGAAAAAAGTGCTAGACACTCGGGCATACCGCGGTGTAGGCCTCGACACAGACCACTTCCTGGTCATAGCCCGAATGCGTGGCCTCTTTAAACGGTGGCGACACCGAGGGGCCGAGCCTACGAGTGTTTTGGACAGAGTAAAAGTGGAAAATCTATAAGAAAGAAGACGAAAGTGATGGTGTTTGAAAGAGATGAGGCAGTGACAGACTGCAATATCGCGATTGGAGATGAATAAATTGAACAGGTGAAGGAGTTTGTGTATCTGGTTCAAAGTTTACGAGAGATGGAAAGTGTGTAAGTAGGTTCGAAAGAAGAGAGAAGGCAGGAAACATGGTGAATGGAGCTTTGCACTCCTTTATGAGCAGTTGGAAGGTGTCTAACAAGGCTCGTTTGGCTGTGCATGAGGGGGGTGTTAGTTCGGACACTCATGTACGGAAGTGAAAGTTGGGTATGGCAGAAGAAACATGAAAGCAGAATAAATGCAGTTGAGATGAGAGCGTTAAGAAGTATAATAGTTAAACTGAGTGACAGGATAAGAAATAGTAAGATAAGGGAACGTTGTGAAGAAGATATAGTAACAAACATTGAGAAAGGTATGCTGAGATGGTTTGGCCATATCGAGAGAATGAATGAAGAACGATTGACGCAAAAAGTGTATAAGGCGAGTGTGAATGAAAGTGTTAAGTATATAATTCAAATAAAATTATCCCAGACGTTTTTGTCGGTTATAAAGTATTACCAGACCTCTCCAAATATATTTTTTTTAAATTCCCAAAAAATATACCTCTGGCAATCTGAAATTTTAATCACGTATTTATTGAGTAATTTTTAATAATACCTGCAAGTCGCCAGACGAATTTAGCGGTTTTAAACAATTCCCAGACGTGAATAAAGTTTACAAATTAATACGACAAATAAGTATTAAGTACGAGAAAGATAGCTTCTCGAAGCATGTCGACAGCGGATGGCTTAGGCTTAGGCTCCTCGTAGGTTATTAAGAAATATTTTTTTAAAGATTTTAAGATCAAATTTTTGTTTTGAGTTTTACGAGCATTACAATAGAACAGTATTATTTTATGCGACATAAATAACGAAAGAATAAACTTTTATGATGAATATTTATTTCTGTACAGAGTCTTTTATATATTCATATTTCTATTTTCATTCATTCATTCATTCATTACAGCCCTTCACAAGTCCACTGCTGAACATAGGCCTCCCCTAAAGAATGCCACAAAGCACGGTCCTGAGCTTTGTCGTTATTGTCGTTAATTAATTTGTGGAACGAAGTTCTTTATCGGACGGTGCGGATTTGGCGGATAGAGGCTAGGCGACAAAAAGTGTAAGATTTTTCCGTCACAACCCCTTCTGACGTAGTGTAGACGGCCTTGGCGGCTATAAGGAAGCGAGATGGATCTCCCTCGCACTTTTTCTTATCTTGCCATGTAATAAATATTATGTTGTTTTAAGTGACTCTTCATTTTAATAGACGCTAGTAATTCTTTTATTTGTATTTGTTGATCAATAATATAATACGTTTATCAAAAATAATATACTACGAAAGGGACTTCATTCCAACCGAGTATTTTACGACACTCACGCATGTTTTTTTTTAAATCACAACGGGCCATACTTCTAAATGTTGTCATAATTATTTCGTGATTTTAAAAACACCCCGGGTCGTACTTATAAATGTTATCTTAATTTTTACGTAACCCTACCATTGTAAATTTATTTAAAACACACCTATTTCACTAAATAAGTTGGCTGACTTTAAGATATTTGATTTTTTTTTGTTTTAGCCTTAAGAAATCGATGTCGATATGTTAAATAATTCTGATTTTGAAGTTTTTCTTCCAAGTGATGCAGATTGTGACGATCCATCATTCTTACCCTCAAAAGAAATGCTGCCAATCGTATCAGATAGCGGTATTGGCAACTAAAGAGCCCAAATAATACAAACGGTTCAAATAGACATTTTATACTTTGAACGCCCCAGCGTGGAAGAACAAACTTGGAAAATAGAGCACCAGTAGCTCTTATCACAAGGACATAGATCTCTATGTTTACCACGATGGTTGAGAAAAAAATATCCTTCTTCCTTCCTTCTTATCTAGAATGCTTCATCAGAAAATTTTGATAAACTGTTTTATTTTCACTGTGTTATATGTCTTCTGTTGTGAGTGGTGGACGTAGCTTAAATATCAGTAAAGGAAAGCTTATTTATACAAGTCTTAGCTTCTAAATGAGAAGCTTATTTCCCAATACACCCTGCGTAATGATATACTGGAAAAAAAGATGGCGAGACACTATGGTTCCAGATCTTACGGCATGGAATCGCTTTACTTAAATATTATAGTTTGTGAGGTTTTAGTTCAATTTGAAAGTCAATTATCCAGTTTTAGTTTAATATAAAACCCCGAAATTGATATATTTATAATTATCGATATATTGAAAATCCGATATTTTAAAAATATCAACAGGCTTAGTTTGAACAGATCAGTTGGAATGATCTATTGAACTGACCGTGTGTGGGGACCAATAGAGGAAACTCTATTTTATTCTATGCTATAAACGCAGTCTCATTAATTGAAAAA